AAGTCAATTCCATCCTTTTTTTATATTACATTGTTAGTAGCACCAACTGGTGTATGGTTTTCATGGTTTTGTATCTCAAAAAACTCTTACCTGTAAAATGGTCACCGCGCCTTTCTTCATCAAAAAGAATGTTGCAATGCTTGAATGGCGCCATTTTAACACTGACTGGCACAATTACAAGTCTGGCTCCTGCTGCAAATGCTGTGAACATTTGAACAATGAAAGGATCAAAGGTGTAGGGAGAGGTAAGGAATATTATATCATGAGATGTCACTTGGAAAATGTTCCTGTTGGATATGAAGATTATGTATTACATTTAGTACTGGATTACGCATTTATAAATGTTGTGGTGTATGGATTTTACAAGATGATTCAGGTGCTATATCACAACCGTGACAAGTAAAGAATGCTTTGATATCGCTGTAACAGTTGATACAAGGTATCATTCAGATTTGTTAAGGTAACTGAAGTGGATTTATTGGGAATGGCCTTTTTTAATTGGATTTTTTATTCTTAAGTTAGAGCTGAAAGAGCACGTTTTGTCGATTGGATGGTAAACCTCACTCAAATTTGCATACATTGTGCGTCAGTGGCAAGTGTTTTTAATAAACAAGCATGAGTTATGGATGCTACCAGGAGAGACCTAGAATTCTTCAGTTTGCCTGGTTTTCTTTTCTTGGGAGGTCTGCAAATAACAACTTTCAACATTCAACTTGGGTCAGTAGAGGCGATGTCCATCGCTGCAATAGAAAATTGAGTGATCTGGATGGAAGCGAAACTAGCGAGGCTAACAAATGAATCTCAACGAGAAGAAGGCGCTTAGGTTACAAATTTTAAATTTGAAATAGGAAACTGGAAACACACAACGTAAAATACAGCTGAATATAACTTTTAAAACACGACCCTGTAAATACACTTTGGAGAACGCTTGGGAGTTACGATCGCCGTTGAGATATTAAGAAAAGTCGTGATTACGAACGCGAAAGTGCTCCGTCATCATTTGGCTTGTGACGTCTCTGAATGCAATAAGTAACAACCAACCCTTTTTATCAACCTTATCTTACGATTCGTCCAAAATTCAAACCAAAATAAAAAGAAAAACATTTGCGAGCCCTATTAGGCCTCCACACGTAGCCAGCGTCATGAGAATATCAACTGTTCGTAGTCTCTTGCTTGCGTAAAAGACATCTCAGCAGGTGGTCTTAGGCCCACAAGATACCTTTTCATAGAGGACCCCAAATGATCCCCTTGGAAATAAAAAACGTCAGTGCAATAGTCCGAGCTAATTAAAATGTAAAGAAAATAGAAACATCGACAAAAGACATATAGAGGGAGAAACACGAGAGGTGAAGCATTTAATTGCGAAATATTAAACATTAGCCTGCTTGCAGACGGTAGTTTGTTTTCAAGCGCGAGATTCAGCGCGGCGAATATTCAGTCGCCATTCTGAACGGGTGGAAGATTTGGGACGAGCGACAAGGCGAGGGGGAGGGGGGAAGTTCTTCTTCCCCTCCCCCTCGCCTTGCCACTTGTCCCAGATCTTCAACCGTCCATTACGGTGATCGAATTTTCACCGTGTTGAGTCTCTTGCCTGCGTACAGACGTCTCCTATTTCCTGATGTCCCTTTTCCGCGTGCAATAAAGGAAATAAGAGACGTCTGCACGCAAGCAATGTGTCTTGCACTTGGAAACACAAACTACCACCTGCAGGCAGGTAAACGAGATATGCGCTAACTGAGTTTATGTAACTTTGGGTGGGCAGACTAAGAACAGTCCCTGCTTTTCGGCCGCGCGGAAAAGTAGGGACTGACAACAAAACCTACTCCCAGAGTGAGGGACTTCACCGAAAAGGCCAGGAAGACGGCTCGAAGTCGAGAAATACAAAATCGCGTTATGCTCATTTTATACTTCTATTTCCCTGTTAATTTTAAACCATATTAATTTCCTACGGGATCATTTGCGGTTTGAGGTCATTTGCAGGCCTGATTGCATGAGCCTGGCAGGTCTGGTTAGCCAGGCTGACTGTCCTGACTCGATTTTGCCGAGATCTTGGCACTTTTGTTTAGTGTAAAAAAAAGATCAACTTCGTAATTACACTACAACCAAGCCTGCCCTGTTATCGCGGTACCAAGGTCCCGCCTGACTGGGCTGAGGTTTTTTCCATGTAATTGAATTCGCTTAGCCGTCATCGGGCAAGCCAAGTTCAATAAGCCAGCAAGAGGACAGTGGGAAATACACTGCCCGAATGCATTGATGCCAATCACATGCGAACACGGTGGCCACAAGTACAACATTTAAGCAGACGATTGACATGGTCGATGAGCTTACTTCCACTTGGTAATTTTAAAACTAATATGGAGTAGCGCAACGTGGATATCAATGCTGAGAAAAGCAAACAATATCAATTAGTGAAAGGTCTGGTGGCGAGACTATTCATTTGTCGAAGTTAACATTTTTCGGTCACAGATATAAAAGCCCGTGTAACTGCATAAATGCAGAAAATTATCTAGGCAAGTGCTGGAAAAAGGCTGCATCAATCATCCGCCGCATTATCGTAGACTCCATTTGAAAACTACCACTTCCCGCCGAAGTATATCGACCCTCGAGCGGCCACTGGCCGAGAAATCGAATACGAAATGGCGGCGGAACATGCGCAGTGTGGAAGATTCGCGGACTTTAAAATGGTTGCCGTACAAAGCTTTATGTGAGAAATGAATTGAATGAAATGCGGCAATATATTTGAAGATAAAGTGGATAGTCAAACTGTCCGCGTCTAAATCATTAAAAAAAGAAACGTAAACAACACTTACAAGAATCCCTACTATCCCCCGATGTACCTCAGTTCGGCCCCAGACGGTCATCTTTTTGACTTCTTATGGCCCCTCTGATGCTTTAAATCCGCCTGTGTTTACCATGTCCTGTTACATATGGACAACCAGGAAGTAACACTGCTCGTGCTTTTAGACCTTAGTGCTACGTTTGACACGATCAAGCATTCCATTCTCCTAAACGTCCTCGAACGAGATTTTGGAGTTACTGGCACCGCCTTAAAATGGTTTGATTCGTTTCTATGTGATCGCAAACAGCGTGTTCTAATCAATGGCAAAGCGTCTGACGATTTTATTCTTAATTGTGGAGTTCCTTAAAGCAGCTGTATGGGGCCTGGGGCCTGGGGCCTGGGGCCTGGGGCATGGGGCCTGTTCTTTTTACTCTCTATGTTTCCCGCCTCTTTCATACTATCTCTCATCACCTTCCCTCCGCCCATAGTTATGCAGATGACACTCGGCTCCACTTCTCCTTTTGACCTATGTCCCTGGAATCTCAAGTTGAAGCTATCAAAGTTCTGGAGAGCTGTATCGCTGAGGTGCGCTCTTGGTTTATATCCAATCGCCTAATGATTAATGACATAAAAACAGAGTTTCTTATTATCGGCTCCCGTCGTCAGCTGGAAAAGACGACAATCGATTCTATCGTCGTAGGTGAATCTAGCATTAAACCCTCAGAAAGCGTTCGAAATCTTGGATCATGGTTCGATGCCCAAATGCGTATGAATATACATGTAGGCAAAACCTGTAGTAAAGCTTTTCAAGGTCTCTATAAAATAAGACAGATTAGGAAATTCCTCAATGTTAACACGACAAAAGCATTGGTCCATGCATTTGTATCCTCTCACCTTGACTACTGCCACGCCCTTCTCTTTGGCCTACCTAAATATCAACTTGATCGCCTTCAGAAAGTCCAGAACGCAGCAGTTAGAGTTGTTTTTCAATGGTCTAAGTTCGACCATCTAACGCCTGCTCTTGTTGACCTACACTGGCTCCCTTTAGAGTTCTGAGTCCAGTTCAAACTGCTTCTCATTGTCTATAAGTCCTTACATAACCAAGCTCCAGATTATATTAACGATCTTCTGTCTCTGAAAACCGAATCCAACTATTCTCTTCGTTCGTCCTCACAGTTTCTTCTGTCAGTTCCCAGAGTCCACTGCTCTACATTTGGGGATCGCGCTTTCACCCACGCTGCACCAGTTTTATGGAACTCATTACCGCTGACTATTAGATCTAGTAGCAGTATTTCTGTGTTTAAAAAAAGGCTGAAGACTTTTCTTTTTAAAAGGCTTTTAATTTGTGACTTTTGGTCTATTTGATATATATTCCTATTGTACAGCGTTTTTGAATATTGACCAATAGTTAAAGCGCTCTATAAATATATTATCATTATTACGTCTTCTACGATGATCGATTGTCCATTTTAACTATGATTTGAGACATATTTCAAGGCACAGAGAGCCGTTAATTTTCGGCCGAAATAGCGGAAAAAATCCCGTATTTCATGTTTTCCCAGTTATTTACCCCTTCGGGGTAAACGAGCGCTTGTGTAAGCAATAAAAATAAGTCGAAGTTGGTGAAGTCTTGAAACTCACAAGAAAAATAGTCGCCATCTTTGAAGGGCTTTGCAACCTAGCTTTTTAGCGGATTTTGGCTGTACTGAAGCTGTTCATCCCATGGTGTATTGTGATAATTTTGATTCCGATCTTTTGGATTATGCATGTGTAACATAATTTCAGTTAATTACATTTCCTGTTGCTCTATAATATCTTTAAAGTCCTTTGATTTCCAAAACATAGTAATCCTTTATTTGTAGAAACGCTAATTTAAATTAAAAAATGTCATAGACCTCCAGTGGAAGCATTTTTGAAGTGGGAAATGAGAATTGAAAGTCCCTCATTAGCATATGTAGCGCCCACGACATCAACCGCTACTGTCGTCGATTTCTCGGCATGACCTACCAATCGAGTTCGCTCCGTTCTCCCGCGGTTTATAGCAACAGAAAGCTCAGGGTTGACTCGCTTTGATCATGTAATACCGGGAAGAAGGACATACAGGCAAACCAAGCCAGTCCGGCTCATATAATCAGGCCCATAGCCGATGGGTTATCCTGTGTGCCATGTTAGACGATTAAAATTAAAACTAAATTTAACTTGTCTTACACGTTTCAAACAGGCTGGAAATCTTGAACAATGGAAAAGCAAAGAGAAATGGCTTCTGCACCTGTATACAGCAAAAAGCAGCTAAACTACTTCCGAATTTGCTACATTGTCACGAACATCTTTCCTCAGGAATTGCGATCAATCTTCAAACAACAGTGGGACACTCGTTACAAGGCAACTTTGGGAGAATGGAAAGACACCCCTGGAAATGGCTTGGACTTTTACAACAACGAATCTCCCCATAGCCGAACACGAAATACTCGATTATTAGAAATAGTGAAAAAGGGAGATAGGAAACAATGGGACTGCACAACGCTATTCTTTGCAATGCTTCATTCTGACTCCATCAGTCATGGACTAAGCGCAACAGCTAAATCAAGTGTCGACGATCTTAGAGAGTTTCGCAACGTGAACTTTGCTCATGTGCCCTGGGGCCAGCTGTCTGATTTAGAGTTTATACTTGCAGTTCGTAGAGTTAAAATTGCTTTTAAGTTACTTGGTCGCTCTCTTAAACAAGTTGAGGAAGTCAGTAAACAGGAAAGTTTCGAGACCGAAGAAGTTCAAAGCCTGAAGAAAAAATGTCAGCTACTTCAAAGAGAACTCGAAGAAACCAAAGTCGAACTAGGAACGGCTAAAAAACAGCTAGAAACATCAGAGCAAAAGTGCCAACTTGTTAAAGAGCAACTTGAAATTTCAGAAGAAAGGAGAGAGGTCCTTAAAGTTCAACTGATAGATGATGTTTCCTCATTCTGCATTCTTCCTCCTAGGCCATCTCACGAAATTGCAACTCGTGATGATGAGGTGGCCGAAATAACAGAAGAGCTGGATCAACTGAAGGAAGTAAACAAAAATTTTTTAAGCTACTTGTACATCACTGGTAATCCCGGAAGTGGCAAATCTCAGCTGGCTGGTCTAATAGCTGAAAAATTCTACAACAAAGTCAACTCAGAAACCAGTCTCCCCTCGTTTGTGATGACTTTAAACGCTGAAAACTTAGAAACACTCCTGGAATCGTACGTTACACTTGCACGACAGGTCAAATGTCCTGAATACAACGTTACGGACACTAGCAGGTTCAAGGAGACGAGCATTGTCGAAAAAATCAAGAATCTTAGAGATTTAATTGCAACAAAACTTCACCTTTATGCATCGTGGCTTGTAGTGGTAGACAACGTGTTGAGTGTCTCTGAAAGAACTGAACTTCTTCCTCAATCAGGAAATAAAAGATGGAGCCAAGGGCAGTTGCTCATCACGACGCAGGATACCTTGTCTATCCCCCCTACTTGTTCCTTTATTTCTCACTTTTCCATCAGTCTGGGTATGAAGCCAATCGAAGCATGGCATTTTTTGGCCAAAATTGCAGGTTTTGCAGATCAAGAGATGGAAGATGAGGTTGCAAAAGCCTTAGATTACCAACCTCTTGCCTTGGCTAGCGCAGGCACTTACATCAGAAAGATCCGTGAATGTAATTGGTCGGCGAACTTTGGCTGGAAGAAGTACTTAGAAAAGCTAAGAAAAGGAACGCGAGCCCTAACTGAGGAGGTACTAACAAAGACCAACCCAGCCTACAGCAAATCCATGACAGTAGCAACAAGACTGGCCGTTGAAAGAGCGATAGGCAGCGACAGTATAATGAAGCATTCGTTCACTCTCCTTTCCCTTTGCGCTCCTCAAGCATTACATCTCGATGTCCTTACGAATTACATTTTGAATATAGATGAGCATGTTGACAAAGACGTCGTTGCCATTCAAATCGAAGGCTACTCACTATTTCTGTTCGAAGAAAGAGAGAATGGAGTTTTCATTGGTATGCACCAGGTTGTGTGGGACTCCATAACATTTGTAATCAGCCACGAGGAGTCTCAAGGATACGCTCAAACAGTTTGTGCTGCCGTAAAATCATTCAACGAGTTCATAGAAATACAGCCATTCAACGCTTGGTATGATACTGACTCTATTGCCAACACCAAGCACCTCATTGCACACTTCAAAGCTTTAGCCATAAACATGAAACATTTTTTTGCTTTTGAAGAGGAATGTCAAGTTTTCAGAGAAGGCGTTTCAAATGTTTCAGATTGGTCATCATGTTTCCACCGGATCGGCATAGTTTGCGAGAATCACTGCGAATTATCTTCTGCTGAGTATTACTATTACACGGCTTTGAAACTTGTTGAACCAACCAGCGACACTGTTGCAAACAGTGCAAGCATTTATCAAAGATTAGGTAATTTGCAACGGTCCATGGGTGATCTAAAGAAAGCCATAGAATATCTGGAACTTTCCATAGCCATTTATGTGGAAAAGCGTGGACCCGAGGATGTTAATGTTGCAATGAGTCATCATAACCTCGGTAATGCACTGCTTGAATTGAATGACTGGAAACAGGCCAGTGAGCATTTTCAACTTGCTCTAGAAATTTACAAGAAAACGCATGGTACTGATCATGTTGATGTTGCGTCCATTTCTTACAACTTAGGAATTGCACAGCATAAAATGGGTAACCTGCAGCAGGCTTTGACACATTTTCATTTTGCTGTTGTAATTAACAAGAAGATAGGTGGACCTGACTCTGTTGATGTCGCACATACTTACCAAAAGCTAGGTGTTGTGCAGCGTGAGTTGGGTAACCTGCAACAGGCCAAGGAGTCACTGGTTCGTGCTCTCGACATTTTCAAGACAGAGCTTGGAAGTACGTATGCCAATGTCGCACAGACTTACCTAAACCTAGGTATTGTACAGCGTGAGTTGGGTGACCTGCGACAGGCCAAGGAGTCTCTCGATCACGCTCTCGACATTTTCAAAACAGAGCTTGGAAGTGAGCATGTCGATGTCGCACAGACTTACCTAAACCTAGGTATTGTACAGCGTGAGTTGGGTAACCTGCAACAGGCCATGAACTCTCTCCATCTTGCTCTCAACATTTTCACAAAAGAGCTTGGACCCGACCATGTTGAAGTTGCCAGTTGTTATGAAGACTTGGGAAAAGTACAGCATGCTTTGGGTGACCTGCCATGTGCCAGGGTGCTTTGTATGGATGCCTTAGAGATTAAGTTGAGGAGCCTTGGACCTGAGCACATTGCTGTCGCGCGTACCTATATTAACTTGAGTGATTTGCTGTCCGATCTGCGTCACTTTCAACAAGCCAAAGAATGTTGTGAGCGTGCTTTAGAAATTTACAAGAGAAGGCCTAGTTCCGAACATGTTGACGTTGCGCGTACCTACCAAAGCCTTGGCAAAGTACATTATGAGTTAGGTGACCTGCAACAAGCTAAAGAACGTTATGAACATGCTCTAGGCATTTACAAGAGAAGACCTGGATCCGAACATGTTGACGTTGCGCGTACCTACCAAGGCCTTGGCAAAGTACACTATATGTTAGGTGACCTGCAACAAGCCAAAGAATGTTTTGAATATACTCTAGGCATTTACAAGGAAAGGATTGGATCAGAACATGCTGACGTTGGGCTTACCTACCAAGACCTCGGCAAAGTACACGATAAGTTAGGTGACCTGCAACGAGCCAACGAGTGTTATGAACATGCTCTAGGCATTTAAAAGAGAAGGATTGGATCTGAAAATGTTGACGGTGCGCTTACCTACCAAGGCCTTGGCAAAGTATACTATAAGTTAGGTGACCTGCAACAAGCCAAAGAGTCTTATAAACATGCTCTAGGCATTTACAAGAGAATGATTGGATCCGAACATGTTGATGTTGCGCTTATCTACCATAACCTTGGCAAAGCAAACTTTAAGTTAGGTGACCTGCAACAAGCCAAAGAGTGTTATGAACATGCTCTAGGCATTTACAAGAGGAGTATTGGATCCGAAAATGTTGACGTTGCGCTTACCTACCGAGGCCTCAGCAAAGCTCACTACAAGTTAGGTGACCTGCAACAAGCCAAAGAGTGTTTTGAACATGCTCTAAGCATTTACAAGAGAAGGCTTGGATCCGAACACGTTGATGTTGCGAGTACCTACCAAAGCCTTGGCGTAGTATATCGTAAGTTAGGTCACCGGCAACAAGCCAACGAATATTATAAACGTGCTCTAGGCATTTGCGAAAAAAGGCATAGGTCTAAGCATATTGATTTTGCGATCATTCACCAAATATTAGGCAAAACAGCACAACACAACAACAATACAACAACTGGCAACCCAAAATAACCACCAGGCTAATATAATTGAGTAGCCATCCTTAGGATTTTACATACTGTAATGACTAACGGTGTCATTTACTTGAGACTTCTTAACTTAACACCTACAGCAACACAGAAACACACAGACAAAAACTAGTTATAAGCTAAAAATACAAGTTAGCGAAAATAAGCAGGAAAATAAAGTACGTATAGGCAGATTAAGTAACGGAAGAAAAAAAATGTATAGTATAATTAAGTCAGTTAGTAACTTGCAGTAATACTTGATTGTAGCTTTTTCTTAGGGCCTGGCTAAACTAGGAAACTTTGTTGCGGAAACATTGTTTCCTGTTATGTTTCCCGGGGTGGCTAAATTAGCAGGAAACGAACAAAATGTTTTGTTGCCCCAGTGGCTTAACGAGGAAACATTGTTTCGGAAAACAAATGAGTTACGCATGCGTGTATGAATAAACTGACTTCGAGGAAGTCTGAGGATCATAAGATGTTCACATTTTCACTGTATCAAAGCCCTTTGTGGCATTCTGCACAATAATAAGGAACTTCAGCATCTTGTACCACTTCCAAGAAGAGCGGTACACATCGCTTGTTTGTCGACCGGACTTCTTTTTTCTTTCGATTCCAGGGCCTGTTCCCTCATTAATTGTGACCTGATAATTTTCCACTTGCTCTTGTAACCCTCCCGGCTGACATCATATTTTTCTGTCATCAGTAGATCGAGTTGCGAATACGCCACCTCCTTACTGTCCCTGTTCATGTAGTCCTTATGACCCACGTCCCAGAGACAAGGCCTTTCCTCATACAGCGTAATTATCATTTCGATTTCTTCGCCTTTCCAATTCCTTTCCTTTCCCTTTCCCTTTCTTTGAGCGTGACCTGCTTGAATTTCTTCGCAGTCAGCCATTTTAATTGCTGTCTGCTCGCCGTTGCTATGAAACATTTTTCAATGTGCGAGCGGCACTGGAAACTAATCAACGTTGTTTTCATCGCGGCTAAACTGGGAAACATATGTTTCGGACGCAAAATTTGTGTCCGGGAGACAAAAATGTTTTTGTCTGCATGCAAAAACAATTTTGGTTTCCGAGCAGCAAAATTTGTTTCCGCAACATATGTTTCCCGCACGGCTAAACTGGGAAACATCTGCCTCCCCAACAATGTTTCCGCAACGAAGTTTACTAGTTTAGCCAGGCCTTTAAATTTTTTAAGTCATAGAAGTTTAATGTCATCACTGATTGCATTACAAACCTTAGCGCCTTGATATCTAATATTTATTTTACCATAGTTTGTTCTTGTCTTTGGCAGAGGATAAGTCATTCTAGAGGAAAGCTTTGTATTATAGTTATCGGTTTCTTTTACTGAAGTGAAAAAAACATCAAAATAAATGGGAAGAAGTTGGTTTTTAAATTAGTTCATAAAAACCGCGGTGTGAACAGTTACTTCGTCAAATAATTTGATAACATTTAAATCTTTGAAAAGTGGGCTTGTATGCTCTAAGAAGCCAGAGAAAGTTATGATTCTAATGACTTTCTTTTGCAATACAAAAAGAGGCTGCAAAGAAGTTTGATAAGTGTTGCCCCAATGCAAGCTATTATACAGTATGTCAAAAATGGATATACAAGAGCATAGTATAGGTCCAGTAAGGTTTTGCTATTAAGATAATAGCGAAGTTCTGATAGAGTGCCTATACTACGTTTAATCTTTTTTACAATATAATTAATATGACTTTTCCAGTTGAGATTTGAGTCAATGTAAATTCCTAGCTATCTGATGGAGTTTTCCTCTGTTAGAGATTGATTATTGATAAATAATGTAACTGACTTGGGTAGTTTGTTTTTTGCACTGGGTGAAACAGTACAAAATTTGACTCACTGATATTTAACGAAAGTTTGTCTACACATAACCAGGAATGAACATTACTGAGTTCATTAATACTATCAAGATTACTTTCTAGTAAATTCATTTTCTTATGTTGAAGAAATAAGTTTGCATCCGTGATCAACAAATAGATGGAAGTGTAGTTTCCCAGAACAATTATATATAAATTGAAAAAAGTAGAGGTCCCAGTACCGACCTCTGAGGTACACCACAGGAGATATTTGTCCTATCAGACTGAGTATCCGGCATCAAGAGATACAAATTCTTTCCTATTACTCAAATATGAAGTGAACTAATCTTTAACAATACCACGGATACTATAGAAATCAAGTTTTGCAAGAAGTATCTCATGGTTTACATTGTATAAGTTTGGTGACCTTCAGCAAGCTAGCAAGCAGTTTAAACGTGCATTACACATTTTCACGATAAAGCTAGGAAAAGACTGCGTCCAATTAGCGACTACTTACAATAACTTGGGTTATGTATGCCATGCCAGGAATGATTTGACACAAGCCAAAAAGCTGTATCATGAATGTACCTTAACGATTAATAAGGAGAAGCTTCGACCCGAGCATGCAGAAACTGTGCATAGTGAGCGTAGCTTGCTTTTTTTTTAAAGCAAAAATTGGAGAAAAAAGAAAAGTGTTCAGTGTAGGAGGAACAGTAAACCCGACCGTGCTGAAAATAACTACACGTATATCATGTGAGTAAAACATTGCGTAACTTGAGAGATCTTCGGCCAACTAACGAGTTTCACATAAAGCCACCGTCTAGAATTGAGTTGAAAAACTTTAGGCCTGTGTTTGTTAGTATATAAATATCCTGATTAGTTACCGTGATTCATGTGCAGCGTGACCTGGGTGCAATAGGCCAACGGCATTTGAATGTGCTCTGTACATAAGATTAAAATACTTTTAAATTGACCCGGGAATTTTAATATTCGTCATACTCGTAATTGAGTAATTAGGTCTAGTAAACGAACCGCGGTTTTGAGTTACCTGCAGCACGTTGCAAACCCAATTTGGTATTTTTTTTTTAAATGAGACTTTTCTCTACGAAATAGCTTCGAAAATGATCACGTCAATGCAAGTATCCACTCCTCCTGTCCATTTGTCGTCTTCTTTGGAGCGACCCCACGGAAACTTTAAGGATAAATCTAGCGTCACGACATAGTGATAACGTATATGTTTATGACAAATGACCGGTGTTACGATAGTTTCGTGTAGATCAGCCAACTTTAACATGTTTCAAATGACAGACAAGCATAACGGTGTATCGTCAGAGGATTTCGGATTGCTCAAATTCCCATGAAAGAGGGTACAGTACTCGGAATCTGGATGATATTCACGCTGTTTAAGGTACATGTTTGTAGTTACGTCGAGTAGTCCTTCATGAGGGTTGATCAATTTTTTTAAAAATATTAAAGCTAGAGGCGAGATTTCTCTTCGGGATATTGCTTAGAAGATAACATTCTTTCAAAGTCTTGGACTTTGCAATTGTCTGAAACGATTGTTGCTGAGAAGATTAGATGTAAACATTGTAAATATATGCAATATCTAATTTTTGAGCTTCGTTCGCGAATTGCCACTATGAAAAGTAGAGGCCAGCCCGCAGATAGTTTAACACACTGAAAAAGTAGAATATTATAACCAACTAAGTGCGAAGTTTCAGTTCCTGATTCGGGGTACTTTTGGAGAAATTTAGAAAAACGTTTTCCCTGTTTTACCCTGCAGCAAAAATGACCGAAACTGTACCAAGATAAATAATCTATTGGTGTGTTCACATTCACTCCCAGGGAAAATTGAATGCATCAAAGCAAAGACGAATGATGTCACTATGTATGCTAGAGGCACCAATTTGTAATGTTGTATTTAACTTGAGATAGAGAAATAAACATTTTACACTCTTTTTTGCGATGTTTTTGTATGAAAATGAGGCCCTAAGCCTCGAACAAGCAGCTGTTGTTACCATGGCAACAAGAGTGCTGCAACCTTTAAAAAGGGCATTTTGTGCACCCCCCTGAGTGCCAAACTGCATGCAAAATTTGAAGGGGGTTGAAAATTTTCATTTCACAAGATGTTTGATTCTTACAGAGACTCGTTCTTAAGAGGTCAACGAAACCTCAAATGCAGTAAATGGTTTGAACCCGGGGGTAACATGTGAAGATGTAGTCTGATCGTCCGGGTGAGTGTAGTCCTGAGAAGGACTGTTGCCGGTTTCGACAACCTGTTTCGACAACCTGTGCGGAAGTCATCATCAGAGTCAAGTGAGTGATTGTTGTCAGTAGAATGTTCTTATTCCAGTTCGTGTGAAATGATCGGTTGGTTTTGCCGTGATGTTATTGGCTGTAAGACTCAAGTGACGTAAGTCGTTCGTGATTGGTCTGTTTCGGTCTGTCGGTAAAGCTAGGTTGTTCTTTTTCGGTCGTTTGTGATGTTTATGTCGTGAATGAGTCGTTTGTATGGGGCGGGTAGTTGTTGACATCTGTTTAGGGGAGTCTGTTCTAAGTTAGTAAACCAGCTTTCCAGAGTCAGTCGTTGAAAATAGTCAGTGCTGTAGGTTAGGCATTGCGCAGAGTCCCAGTCAATGTTGTGGTTGGTAAGTCGATGGTGTTCAGCAATGTGATTGCTGACATCACCTTTCCTCGTCGCCCGTCTGTGTTCAGTCAGTCTTGTTGTGAGGTTTCTGCCAGTCTCACCGATGTAGGAGGCTTGGCAGTCGGAACAATTGATCTTATAAATCGTTCCCTGTCTGTTCCTCGGTTCGTCTTTGTCTTTAACGTTGGTTAGTAACTGACGTAGTGTGGTGATGGGTTTGTGGGCGACGCGGATATTGAAGGGTAGTAAGATGCGCGAGATGTTTTCAGACATGCCTTTTATGTACGGTATGGTTGCTGTAGTCGTAGGGGTTGCGGTGTCGTTTGTTTCGGTAGTGGTAGTGGGTCGGTGAGTGTTTCGTCGGATGAAGTCGTTGTTGTAGTTGTTCTTCGTAAAAACACGGTGAAGGTATTTGTTCTCGTCGGATAAGCTGTCTGTCGAGTCACATACTAGTTGTGCGCGTCGTGTTAGAGTTCTGATAGTTGTGGCTTTGTGTGATGTAGGGTTGTAGGATGACTCGTCTAGTAATCTGTCGGTGTGTGTCGGTTTCCTGTAAACTGTCGTTCGTAATGAGTTGTCGTTGTGGCTTACCAGGCAGTCTAGAAAAGGAAGTTTGCCATTTTCTTCGACTTCTCTGGTAAACTGTATGTCAGTGTTTTGTTCGTTAAGGTGGTTGTGGAATGCGT